TTCAAAAACCAGCCTCTCTCTTTCTCCAGATGTTTGATTCTCTTTTGGAAATTCTCAATTTGTGCCACCTCTTTTCTATTAATCTCTTCCACTTCATTTTGTAACTGAGAACATTTCATCTTAGCTTCATATCTTTCTCTATAGGCTTCTTAATTCTTAGCCTTGGCCTTCGCAAAATCGAAGTCAAGTTTCTTAATCATCATTTCTTAAGCATCCAACTTCTTACAAAGCCCAATAGTAGAATAAAGTCCCTGCACGTTGATCAGACATGCCAGAGTGTACTTATAGGCTCTTGTGATAATAAAAAGAAAAGCAACGCAATAACGATCAACGAAACACGCAACTTTCATACCTACATAATTTTAACAGAAGCCTCGGACGAGAAACAAGAGGTTGAATGATTCAACAACATTTCATCAGCTGAGCCCAAATTCCACTAGCAAAAACCCTGCAAGCTTCTGAATTATCTTCAACTGACTCCCATTTCAAGACCTTTTTCCCCATCATCTTTCGTTAAGTTGAGTTCCATAGCCTCATTCATCATCGGATCCTTTTCTGAGGCAAGCTTGATATTCACCATTTCATCTTTGGATAATTGCTTAGTTTTACCGTTATGTTTATCAGGTAGCTCAGGTTTAGGATTATCATCATATTTGCTACCAGTGATGATCGAAACCGTAAGCATCTTATGTTTCTTTGAATCTGAATAATAGGATTTCCTACTGGGAAATGCCTTAGCTACCCTCTTTTGCTTAGAACAGTCCCTCAAAGACTCAACTATTTGGACCTTTTTTTGGAGTGAATACACTTCCTACATGGCTCTTCTTCATACTAGGCAAAGATGCAATAGGTAAATTTCTTGTTGTATATTTTGATGATTGTTCAACTTGGTTTTCTTTTTCCGTGGCCTCTGATAATCTCAAAGTATTTGAAAAAGACTCCCTAGTGTCACGACCTGATTATTTCTCCTCAAAATTGTGTGGCCTTAGGTGCCAATTCCTCGTCGATGGCCCTAAGTTAGCCTTGCTCACTCAAGCTTTCTAGCTTTTAGAAAAAGAGAACACTCACTCACTCAAACTCACAAGAGATGCTAAGAAGTGAACATTCTTTATTACTCAAGAGATTTTTACAATTCTTGGATGGTTTGGCCAAATAAGTCCTCCCCCTTTTATAGTAGTTTTGGCTTACAATGGACGATCTACATTTACATAAGCCTTCCACTTTCAATAGTGGAGATTAGCTAACTACAAACTACCACCTACCAACTACTATTTACCAACTACCACAATAAATACAACTGTGCAGAGAACTCAAGAGAGTTCTAGAATGTTAGGGTGACTCCCACCAAGTGTTTGATGGAATGTTTGTGACGCGTCACATTCTCCCCTACCTAATCCAAAGACGTCCTCGTCAAATCATCGTGGAATTCTCGAACCTTGTCTTCGAATTGCCACAATGTGCCCTTGGGTTTCCAACTAGCTTCACTCTTTAGTAACTCCTTCCACTTGACAAAGTATTATTAACTTGGAGGATGTCCTTTTTGTTGAACGATGCAGCCTGCTAACACACAATCTGCCTCCTTGTCATAAAAATTAGTGTTGCCCAATGGTTCCCTTTTTTATTCTCTCAATTTTGGATCTTTCGTATCTCTGTGATATGGCTTCAAGCAAGTGACATAGAAGACTGGGTGGAGTCTTAACCAAGAGGAAAATTTAAGCTTGTATGGTACATTACTTGCCCTCTTGATAATGGAAAAAAGTCCCTCATATCTTCGAACAAGGCCCTTGTGTAGTGAACAGGTGGACTTATGTTGTGAGGGAAAGATCTTGACAAGTACTAAATCCCCCACATAGTATTTTACATGCCTCCGCCTCTTTCATCCACTTCTTCAGCTTCTTGCTCTGTCAAGATACGCCTGTGCAATGTCAGCTTGCTCATGCCATGACTTAGTAACTTTGAATGTCACGAGGCTGCTCCTTGTATTACATGTTCCAAGGGTGTGTGGCATGAGTGGTTGCCGACCCATCACCATTTCCAAAGGACTCTTATTGGTGGCTTCGCTTCTTTGCAAATTGTATGAGAATTGGGCTACATCAAGCAACTTCACCCAATCATGTTGGTTGGTGCTTAGAAAATGCCAGAAATACATCTTTAATAAGGCATTCACTCTCTCAATTTATCCGTCAGTTTGAGGGTGAAAGCTTGTAGAAAAGTGCAACGCTGACCTTATAAGCTAGAACAATTCAATCCAAAATCTCCCCGTGAATCGGCTGTCCCAATCGCTAATGATGGTCGTGTCTTCCGTGGTGCACCCCTTTGGTGCAGGGATAAAAGTTGATAGCCTGTCCACCACAATAATGATGGTGCTAAATCCCTCAAATTTCGATAGCCATACGATGAATTCCATCGAGATACTTTCTCATGGTCTGTTTGGTATGGGTAGCGGCTCCACCATATCTTGTTGGCACACTAGACAAGTTTTTACAAATTGCTCTACATCATCTCTCATATGTGGCCAATGGTAGGCAGCCTCCAATAGTGCTCGAGTGCGCCTTTGTCCAAGATATCCAGCCCATTTGGTGCCATGACTAGGGGTGGGATAATCCGATTAACCAAACCGAATAAGGTAAACTAGAAACCAAACAGTTATTCAATTTAGGCAAAAATGAAAACTGAAATCGAACCAGTTTATAGAATAAACCGAATTTAAACTGAATTGAATATTTAGTTGGTTATCCGATTTTCAAACCAGTTTTCAAATTCACCCCTAAATTCTTCATTTTTTTACATTTAAGTCCCTAAATTAAAGATCTATACTTGAAGACTTGGTTAACTAGTTTTCATTTTTCATTAGTTGTGGAGCAGGCGAGTAGTTGAGGATTGAAGATCTAAACGGCAATGGAAGCTAGAGTAGTGGTCAACTGTCATCGTTATTCCTAGTTGAAGGAATTGCAGCGCAGCAGTNCCTTAGGATGTTTACTTGATTCATCCTTTATATAAATTGAAGGTTTTATTCAACTGCACCGCAAAGATGGCTTTTAAGTTTGTTTATAAATTCTCAATAACTTTCTCTCTTTCAAATAAACTAGTAATTATAGATGCGTTGGGCTCATTATTTCTATCTATATTTTTAATACTATTTTTTAAATATTATTTAACATATTATTTCAGAAAAATTACTATATTTTTTATTATTTTTTTATCCCTTAAGTTTATTAATTTCATTAAATAACCCTAGAAAAAAATTTAAAAATTAACAAAAACACTCCCATCGACCCATACTTGCCAGATTCATACAACCACCATCGATAATAGTCAGAATCTATACAACGGCTTACACCACGACCAAAACTGGTCGATAGTTCACTGATCTGGCCAGAAAAGGCCAGATCTACCCATCAGCGACGGCTATATCTTTGGACTCGATATGGATCTGGCCGAAAAAAGCCATATCGACCCCATACCAGCCAGATCCGACCGGTATATGTCGTTACGCAATTTTCTGGTCAGATTCCGACGATGGTGGCCAGAATCTTGCACTGCGGGTGATCGGGGTGTTTTTGTCATTTTACAATTTTTTTTAATATATTGGGGTGTTTATTAAATTAGCAAACCTAGGGGTTTTTTTTATAAATTTATAAATTTTACCTCGTAATACTCCCCTATTCAACTACTCAGTATTATTCCCAAAATCCTATCCAAAATAATAAAACAAACAGACCCTATAATCTCAAAGGTTTGGTATGGTAGTCAAGAATATTTGTTCATTTCATTGACTTATTAAGTTCAAACCATCTTGAAGTCACCTATCACATTTGTGACGTACTTAAATCATTGGATTTATAAGGTGTTCAATGAACCTCAAAGATTAGTTAAAGTGTGAGTAAATTGGTTTGAACATCCTAATTTAAAAAAAAAAATTAGTAATTATAATATTTATTTATTGTAACTTAGAAATCAAGTTAACCATGCAATAACCTAAGACATTAGGAAAGGCATTTCAGCATGAATCATTTTACTTGAATATATCTTCTTTATACAAAATATAATAATCACTTTCAAAAGTTAATATGGTCGACTATCCCAAGATCTAACTAATAAATTTAATTTATTTTCTATTAAAATAGTAAATCAATCTTAGCATTAAACGTTAATTAAGATCTGCTTATCAATTTGAAATGGATCTATATAACGTAACTTAACCTTTAAAATCCCGTTGCTGATGCATGGGAATCGGATTTTGGGTGATCGTGGCGTGCGACTGCCAACCGAAAGCTTTATCCGGAACATGAAACGGCACCGTGTATTGAACCAACCCTCTCTTTCCACGAATTCACCGTCTTACCCTTCTTTAATGCATAGAAAAGCAACCCCACTTGCTTTTAAAACCTGTGCAGCACATATTCTTTCACTTTTCTTGCAAAACAACAAAAATACAATTATTGCAACTGCTGCCCCTCTTCTTTTATTTATTTCCAAACAACCTCAACCAAATACAATTACATTTCATTTGCAGACCTACCCAACCATGTTTCTGATCAAAGCAGTCATTTATCAACGGTTACAATCATTCACGCTATGGTGTGGCTGCATCACCAGCCTCTGGCGAGTAAGGATTATATTTGTCATTTTGCATCATTTCTGAAGATTTAATTTCCTGTTGAATTAGTCTTCCCAAATTATCACTTTAGAATAAATTAATTAATTATCAATTTGACCCGAGATTGTAATCAGGATGTTACTGTTGCATAAAAGGTGGAGCCGGATGGTATAATCGTAAATAAATACAAAAAGAGGGGTAATGATGTAATAATGACACTGGATTCAAAAAAACATGCTTATCGACGACAGAACACAACAGAGTAGACTTTGCTTTGCATATTATTCTCTTTTGGTTTTGTATTTATTTTTTCGCCAACTTTACTTCCCTTTATATCTGTACTTTACTTTGTCTCAGTTCCTCTTCTCCTTCTACTTCTTCTTCTTCATTTCTCTAGTGTTCATCTTTCTTCTTTCAAGTAGTTTTACCAATGGCAGAATACAGCCACCCTCCCATGGAACAGCTTCAAGACCTTGAGTACTGCATAGACTCTAACCCTCCTTGGGGTACGTGTCACGTCTGTTCTTCTGATTTGGTTGATGTTTTTAATGAATGATTTAGTTCATCATGGTGTTTAATGGGAATGGCCAAATGGGGTTGTCGATATCGAGGTTGTTGTTCAGTGAGTAACTTCAATAGTTATTGGCACTACTGAGAGAATGGAGTCTTTAATGTTTCTCTTTTTATGTTAATGTAACTTCAACTTGAGGCCTTATTAATGGTGACATTATAAGATTGGTCCCACTCAGGGTGAAAAGATATGTTCTTTTATTTGTGAACTGCATTGTTTGGTTTATTTTATTTACTTGGATGCAAGAATATGTTATGCTGCAACATCTTTTGTTTAGATCGATGAGAAATTTATTTAATTCGTTAGTTTTAACTTATTTGTTTTGAAACCGAGTGGAAGTGTTTGTGGAATCGTACATTTGTTGTTTTATTATGTTTTAGTTTTGGCCCTTTTTGGTTTGTTTGATTGCTGAGTGATTGCAAATCGGATTTTGAAGTAAGTTGGGTTCAGGTGGATATTGCAACATTCCAGGTTTCTTTATGTTCCTCTTCCATGGGGTTTGGCAAAGCGGTTTTCCTAATTACCTTTTTGCCCTTTTAGCCAAGCTTAGTCTCTTGCCCTTCCAACTGCTGCTACTAAAGTACTTGGTAGAGGTTCTAATAGTCGCGGTCTATCGCCTCATTCAAATATTATTCACTTTCAATGTTAGTAATACGGATTATCGATTACAATGGAATTTGGAAATTTGGTTTACGGAGGCTCATTTTAAGGTCCACGTTGTTGTTATGAATTGATCTCATTGCATTTTCCTTTTCAAATATAATGGAATGATCTTTGTTTGTCCTTTTTTGCGAAGAGTGATTTGATCATCCTTGTTTTTTGTATAATACATAATTGATTGGTGTGGTTCCATGTTGAATATCATAGTACTAATATTGGTATAATCTTTAGAATTGCACGATTTGTGACAGCCCTAAGGATTACGACTATAAAACTAAGTATAATCAGCACTTGGGAGAAGTGGCTTTGCAACTGAATAGACGAAGAAATTCTTTATAAGACCTTGTATATTGTTTGACGTTTTTTAATTGTGTTTATATTGACTTGGAAAATTTTGATAGTTTCCATCCTATATAATCCTTGAAACCTGTGATTGTGTGTATTGTCACCACTATTATCTATACCTGTTACTGAGTACAACCTATTCTAGTGGGGCACTCATGAACCGTCTTTATGTGTGCGAATATGTTTATGTTATCGATTTTCACTAATCCCACATATGACAAAGGTGTTCAATTTTTGTGAAGCTTGAAATGGATGTGAAATAGAATGCAAAATTTCATTATCTTGGTGTTGGCAAGATCAGATGTTTGCATTTTGATCTAAATTCTCTATTTTCACATCTTTGTTCAAGATCAAAGTGTTGTCTTGCAGCGGAAACTATCTTATTAGCATTTCAAAACTACATCCTGATGCTGGGGACAAGTGTAATGATCCCTTCCTTGCTCGTCCCAGCAATGGGTGGAAGTGATGTAAGCAACCTCTGTTAAACTTCTCCCTTTAAATTCAAGTTTCATGTTTTGTATGGGTAAATCTACTCCTGGTTTAAAAGTTAGCATCCTAAGTATGTCTTCATTCTTACCTATATAGAGCAAGTATGCAGGAAACTGCTGCGTCCAACCAATGAAACTCTAGGTCTAAATTCCATTGTTTACAAGCTAGATTTCCTGACAACTTGATTTTCTTTCTTCATTCAAAAGCAATTACAGATTAGACTATTCTGTTTTTTGTTTATCCTTGAATTTTGGCCTAGAAGATCTTGGTGGGGCTTGTGACTATGGTAGGTCAGTTATTGGTCTTCACTTTGTTTCCTTGATTAATTTCTTCCTCTTATAACCAGGGCGAGAAAGCACGTGTAATACAGACTCTTCTTTTTGTAGCTGGAATTAATACTCTTCTCCAAGCACTTTTTGGAACCAGGTTGCCAGCTGTTGTTGGGGGCTCTTTTGCTTATGTGATTCCAATAGCTTATATAATAAATGACTCCTCATTGCAACGGATTACTGATAATCATGAAGTAAGTTCACCAATTGTCCCCACTTTCCTTTTTGTGCGTGGTTTACGAAAACAGTGAAATAATCTTTTAAAGATGGAAATTTTGACTGGTAAATGATTTGCAGAGATTTATACAAACAATGCGAGCTATCCAAGGAGCTCTCATTGTTGCCTCAAGCATACAGATCATCCTGGGTTACAGTCAAGTTTGGGGTCTCTTTTCACGGTACATTGGTGCAAGATTGGATAGAAGGATTAAACTGCTGTATAATATTATATTGTTTACTATTGTATTTGTCTTCCTTGCAGATTTTTCAGTCCTCTTGGTATGGCCCCTGTGGTTGGATTGGTTGGCTTGGGATTGTTTCAACGGGGATTTCCTCTGGTTGGTACTGCTGTGACTTTATATACAGCTACTTAAGGGCTGGTTATTTAATACTTAACTATCACAAACATCACCAGAAGGCATCACATTATTGTTCCTTACAGCTAACATATTATCTCCGAGGAGACTTGGAACAAGAATTTGAAATGTTTTCTTTTAGTTGATTTTAACAAAACACAAGATTTTGACATTCTTTGATTCAACCTTGTGGTACTAGTCTCTATTGATGAAGCTTTCTAGAAACTTTTTCATGTTTTGGTGGCAACGATTGAGTTACAAGCTGGTCATAGATGTCAAAAAAAATTCTCAAAACTGGTTAAGATCAATAAACAGTATCAAACATTTTATACTTAATAAGCATCAGTGCACCACTGATTCATTCTACTGACTACCTCAAATACTTAACTTATTCTTTTGCCATTAATTGCAGATCATTCTCTTCAAAACTAGCACTGATTACCATTGTGATATTTTTTCTTTTTCCAGTTGGGGAATTGCGTGGAAATTGGGATCCCAATGCTATTGTTGGTCATTGGATTGTCACAAGTGAGTGGTTTGTATATTTGTTCGACAAATTGTAGTACCATAATAGTTCTTTCTTTCCTTAACTTGTGTATGGGTTTTGGACATTGCAGTATCTAAAGCATGTGAGGCTGTTTAGAGAGTTACCAATATTTGAACGATTTCCGGTGCTAATCTGTGTTACAATCATTTGGATCTATTCTGTTATCTTAACTGCTAGTGGGGCTTATCGAGACCGGCCAAGCCTGACTCAAGCCCATTGTCGTACCGACAGAGCAAATCTTGTATCTACTGCTCCATGGTATAACAAAGAATTAATTCATGTCTATATTCATTAGCGTTATCTTTTCACTGGTTGCAGAATTTCATGTGTTACGTTCTTTTAGGTTCAAGTTCCCATACCCTCTCCAGTGGGGGCCCCCCACATTTTCAGCAGGTCATTCATTTGCTATGATGTCTGCAGTTCTTGTGTCTATGGTTGAGGTATATCTTTTATCGCCTTAAGACACTTCATTTTTATATTTCCCAGTGTTCAGCGTATTCTTCAAAATGCTTTTCATATGAATAACTCTTTGGTTGTTCCACATTTGTTATGTAGTTCTATACAAAGTATAACGCTATTAAATTCTTAATGGCTTACTTCTGGGATTGACAAAATTTCACCTCACTCTCAAAACTTGTTCTACAGTCAACAGGAGCATTCAAAGCAGCATCTCGCTTGGCAATTGCCACTCCACCACCTGCTTATGTATTGAGCCGTGGCATTGGTTGGCAGGTCTGTGATTTGGTGCACCTGAAATAGCACCATCCTAGTGTTTATAATTCATTTGTTGTTGATTTTAACATATGGATTGAATGTATCATCTTTATCTATCATTTGACAAAATGGCTATTTTTTAATTGTCACCGTGGCAGGGGATTGGCATCTTGCTTGATGGTCTATTTGGGACAGGCACTGGTTCCACTATTTCTGTGTAAGATGCAATAATAGTATGCAGCTTACGCTATGTTGTTTCTCCATATATTATGAACTTACCAGAAATGATGGCAATGTATTTCAGGGAGAATGTGGGACTCCTTGGGCTGACCCGAGTTGGGAGTCGTCGAGTTGTTCAAATATCTGCTGGCTTCATGATATTCTTCTCTACCTTAGGTTTGTACTTCTCATACATGTGTAAATTCAAGCATGGTCAAGGAGAGCACTTCCGTTTTTATGAACTTGTTTTTGTGAATATTATACTGATAATGGATTGTTTTAGTAACGTAAATATCAAGGGCTTAATTCCCCGTGTTTTGCAGGAAAATTTGGAGCTGTGTTCGCATCTATACCCTTCCCAATATTTGCTGCATTATACTGTGTTCTCTTCGGTCTTGTTGGTATGGAATAACTGTAAGCAAAGATATAATTATTACTTTCTCCTTTCTCATTATCCTGCTTGAAAGAGTTCCTACATGCTTTCAGCTGCAGTTGGACTATCATTCCTGCAATTCACAAACATGAACTGCATGAGAAACCTTATCATAACCGGGCTCTCACTTTTTCTCGGGATATCTGTCCCCCAATTTTTCAGTGAATACTGGAACCCTGAACATCAAGGACTTGTTCATACCAATGCTGGATGGGTAAGTATTGTTCTGATTAAAAAAAAAACTAATTAGGTGTTTCTTGGTATTAGCAGTTTAATATAGGTGTCTCTTTGCAGTTTAACGCTTTCTTGAATACCATATTCTCGTCGCCTGCAATGGTTGGTTTAATAGTTGCAGTATTTCTCGACAACACATTAGAGGTGGAAAAATCAAAGAAAGATAGAGGAATGCCATGGTGGGTAAAGTTCAGAACATTTAAGGGAGACAACAGAAATGAAGAATTCTACACTTTACCATTCAATCTCAATAGGTTCTTTCCACCAACATAGCCAGTTTAAAATAAAACTGAAAAGAAAGCTGAAGCGAAAGGCTAAAGAGAGCTAATTCCTTGTGAAATCGAATTCAGTTAATATTGATGCAGACAAGCGATGCGAATCCTTCCTTCAACAGCTCAAATTTTTTGTAAGCCATGTCAAATTGGGTCCAGCTAGGATTGTAGAACATTTGATCTATACCCTTTTGTAGATGCAATGCAATTATAAAACGAATCAGCTTATTCTGTTATCTCGCACTGTTCAATTATTTAAACTTCCCAAGTGCAGATTAGTTTATTTAGCCTGAAATTTGCAGCATTTGTTCCAATTCCACTGGGAAAATAATTGGTTTGGTTTGGGTTCCAAATAATTCACCATTTAAAATATAACTGTTACTTCACTTAATTATATTTTAATAAAGGATTTGAATCCAAATTTGTAACATTTTATTTTTTTATATCATACTTGGTATAGAATCAAAGCCAAAAACTGAAAAATTTTCAAATCTGAAGCCTCAGACAGCCAGTCTGTTTAACATCAAAGTAAATTCAGCCGGTAATTCCAACTATAAGTTCAATAATCCTCATTGGCTTCTCTTTCAAAAAAAGAAATAAAGATCGTAATGAAGGTTCATAAATAAAATGTAATCGCCGAAAACGGCTCCGTGGGCCAACTAAAATCAAACCCCCAGGTTCCTATCAGTAAGCGAAACATTAGTTACTTTAGGTCCAATCATAGCATCACCAGTCAACGCTCGTAAGCTACCGGCGACGTGGCATTGAACCAGTCAAAATAAATAAAAAGATTAAAATAAAAAAGCCCTCAGGGTCCCGTTTCAAATCACACACACAGCGGAACACGGAAGGCCACGTGGTCCCGACCAATCAACGAACCCAAGGAAGACGAATCCGGTGGAGGAGACGAAATCAGAGGGCTCGTGGCTGGTGGATGGGACGCTATCGGGTCCTCCGGAAGTCACCGCTGCTGTTTAAAGTGTCATACGGCACTTCCTATCAATTTGGGTTTGCTTCCTCATCGGGTATATGGATGGAAATTAGAACCTTTAACAAACAAGAAGCATTTTTAATTGAAAGTTGATGAAAACACTAAAACCCTAGACAGAGAGATTGAATTACAATTGGTGATGAAGGTGGGCGAGAAGGGAGTTTATATAGAGGAGAAGAGAGTAAACCCTAGCTGTTAGCTATTCGTAATACGACGCATAAATTTGTATCAAGTTGAAACGGGGGTCATGGGCCTTAAAACTGTTGGGCTCTTCTCAATGGCTTTGGGCTCTGGTAGTTGGTTTGTCCCAGTTTGGTTCTAAAATTAGGGTAAACTGTCATGATTTTTCATTTTCAATTTTTGATTTAAAATAAATGGCATTATTTTGTTTTTAAATATTTACCATATAATTTAACTTAAAGTTTTATATGGAAAATGATGGACATTCATTTAGCATCACGTAATCTGTTCACTAAAGTAATGTCATGTAATTATATCAATTAATATCAATTAAGATGCAAAATTAGGGATAAAATTAAAATACATCTGTTAATAATTTTATTTTCATTATTTTCTCTAAATAATAAACCATTAAGTTAATAAAGAAATTGATTTGGTTGATAATATAATCTTATTGTAGCTCAAACAAACAAATATATATCAAATCATATCGTAATATCCAAATAATAATAATATATTAATTATTTAAAATTTGCAATTCTATCAACAGCTTTTGCCGTGGATCATTTCTGGAAATTTTCAAATTGCCGTCCGCGTAAAATAAGACGGACAGGCTTCAAAAGAAACCAAAAAAAAAAAAAAGAACACCAAGGCCGTGTTTGGTTGGTGCAAAAAATGTCAATGGGAAGTGATACGGGCTCCACATGGGTTGGTAAGAAACCTCTTAGACGCATCGGTGGCATGTCCGATGCCCTATCCATTGCCGCCGATCTCGGCTTCTCCGTCGCTCCTCCTCCTTCCCAGGTTCTCACTTTCTCAATTAATCGCAATTCATTTTTCTGTACATTCTGTTCGTAATTCGAGACACTTGTTTAGATTTAAGTTCATTTCTCAAAATCTCATAAACAACGTCATACACGCGTTTTCATTTTTGTTCGTTTGTTAGATTTTGATAGTAATTGGTGAAATTTTGAAATTAATGGCTTAAAATTTCAATAGGAAGAACTTCAAAACTTATGCGCGAATGGTGGTGAGAAGGGTGATGAATTGATAAGAGTTTTAAGAGAATTAACTGCTGTACAGAGGAAAATAGCAGATCTGCAAGTCGAACTCCAAGGTCGAAAGGTGAACTAGTTATTCTATTGGCAAAAATTAAAATAAAAACTGGAAAAATGATGCTTATTGTGTTTCTGTAACTGAGTTGTTCCTTGATTTTGATGTGTGAACTTTTAGGATGATAAAAACGTTGCGCATTTGACACATGTGAGTGAAATGGAAAAGAAGATTGAGACTTTATCAAGGATTACTACTATACTAAAAGATGTTATTCAGAATAAGGTATGTTCTTTAGTTCTTGTTATATGCACCTCTTGAGTTGAATATGATTAACTATTTTTTTAATAAACATGGCCGCTTCCTTGTAGAGTTCTATATGCGACTGCGTAATACACAAAATGAATATGCACACACAGAGAAGACACTGCTGATTCTACTGGTTAACAAAATTGCTATGATATCAGGATAGCTGCACAAGAAATTGTCATTGCTAAATAGCACTCAATTTGAGTTTTTGTATCTGTGTGAGCGATTGCTGTATGCCATTTGAGAAACTGCTTGAGTCTGTTTAAAATAGATCTAAGTCCACTGTATGCTACTGAAAAAGTGTCAATACTTAAGGCTGCAAACTGAACTATGGTGGCCATTAGAACTGATTTTGCCTTGTGCAGAAATGTAATATTTTTCTTACCTGCTTATTACATTTGATGACTTATGTGTAATGACTTCTATTTATCTTATATAACTTCTTGTTTTCCTGTAATTTATAAATGATGTCAGGATCGCATTATAGCTCGTCTTCAACAACCATATTCACTGGATTGCATTCCAGTGGAAGCAGAATTTCAGGTTCGTTTACCTGGTTAATCACAGTTCTTTTAGCCAGTGTGGAATCTTTATATATATATAGTATTAATTCACCTTGCATGAATATTTTAACTGATGGTAACGCAGTTTGGTATTGGAGTAAAATAACTAATTGGTCGGTTGTCTTCAAGGCATGACTTAAAGTTTGGCTTTTAGGAATTGGGACTTCAATCCTGGTTAGAAGTGAATGAGAGTTTTAGGTTTCAGTTCTCTGGCATAAATATAATGTTTGTTTGTTCAGAGTACTTATTGATTTAGATGCTCTTGTTTTTTCTTAAATACAAAATTTGAAAATATTAGGCCTATTTATGCATTTGTTCTGCTGTAGATATTTGTCTTGTTCTCAGACCTTGGATAGATGAGCTGATGGCTGCTAAATCTCAGTCATATCTTGCACTGTGTTACACTATGTTAACTTTTAACAAGGATTCGAACATCAAATAGTGGGACTAAAGTATAAGTTTTCAGTATCTTAACATAGAGATTTCAGCAATTAATTGGAAATTTTAACTCAAAAGGCATCTTCTCTTCTGCATATTTTATACTTTCCTTGTGAAACAGAGTAGGCATTGGCTGTAATTGCTTTATGTATTACTAATGGCATCTTTTGCTTGGATATGCACAGAAACAATTTTCAGAGTTACTGATGAAAGCTGCTAGTGACTATGGAGCCTTGACGGCATCTGTTGCAGATTTCCAATGGAGTCAGAATTTTAAGGAACCTCCTTCAGTTTGGGGGGTATGTTTATTAAGTATTGGGTTGTTTCCTGCATTTTAAGTCCAGACTGCTATATTGAGCATCATTAATCTGTACATTCACACTTTTTGTGTTTGTTTTAAGCGTTTAGCATATTGTGATTCCATTGCATCTAGGTTGTGTTTATTAAGTATTTCAATGTTGACTGCTTTTCAGTAACAACTAAATTAAATCTGATATGGAGCAGACCATATCATGTGAATTGGTTGTAACCATGGCAGATTGTTGAATTTTGAAGGGAAAATGAATGTGATCCAGATGCCCCTTCTAATTTTGTTAGTTTGGCTTGGATGCTCATGCATTTTTGTTTCAAATGCCTCTGAAAACGGTGATGATTTAGTATTGTAGCATCTTAAATAGTGTGAGTCTGATAATCTGATTAAAAAAATCATATGTGCACAATGCCCTCGATATCAATGATCTTTCTTGAAGTAGTTCACTTTCTCTGAAACAATAATTAGTGAAACTGTTTCTTGAATTATCCATGATGATCCTATTAACACCATAAGGCAAAGCAAATATATTCTTATATTATTGATTTAAATTCAATGTTTATTGTCCATGTGGTACCAAATGTCTCTTCATTTTATAATAGCACCAGATGAGATTTATCTATGATGTTTGAAAATTGAAACTGCATCAAGTATTTTATGTCGGAAAGAGGGAGATGTTACTGCAGAATGTGATCTTCTGTTTATTTTTCTTGATACAGGAGATGCTCCGCCCAATTCCTGTTGCTTTAGCATCATGCACCCGATTCTTTGAAGCCATGTCTGCTATGAGAGAATCATTTGCAACACTTCAAAATCTAAGGGTGGGCCATTCTGCCTCACCATTGCCTACAACACCAGCTAAGGATTCCTCGCAAAGAGTACCAGGTGAGTCTGATTGTGTAACCCCACCTCCTTGGAGAAATGAATCGAGCTTTGATGACTTGGCTATCAGAAGCCTAAGAAGACAAGAACTTGCACAGCAAGAAGCCGCCGAGGTTGAAAATAGTGAAGCAAGGGACTCAAATCAGTTTGATGGAACAGGCAATAGAAGATTGTCTTGGCCTTTTTCAGTTAAAAAGAGTGGTAGTTAGTAAATTTCGTGTGTCACCCATGTACTGGTTTCCTCAAAATTTTAGTGTGTAATATTTCCACTGCGATGGATAGCAGTGTTAAATGACTTTGAAAAAGAAGGGGAAAAAAAAAAAAAAAAAAACCTCAAATTCTTTTGTGCAGGAGTGCGTATTTCGCGTTCATTCGTGTTAATGTCCTTATCTTGTGCATACTATTTTGATTAATGGAGACACATTATCTCCAATATGTCTTTGGCGATTGATTGTTTTAACCAGGTTAGGAATTCAACATAATCATTAAATCATAAACTGGATGGATAAGCTCCATTTACGCTTTGCAATTGCTGATTATGTTTGCAAATAATGTATTTCAACTCCATTACAGTATTAGTTATAAAGATCAATTCCACGGTAATATAGTCTACAACCAACGTATAATCTTCATATTTTTGACAGAATAAAGTCTTGAGTAACAGCAAAGTGTTTGAATGTTTATTCTGCTATTAGTTGTGTATGGGCCTTGTAATGGGTTATGACTATGGCTACTTGATCCAGACTCCTTTGTACATCTCCTGTTCTCACTGCTCACCACCTTCTTGAAAACGAATCTTGATTCCTGAACGATAAGTGGAAGTTAGGTAATAAAAACTTTGCTTTGAATGCAATAAAGGCGATCTAATTATCTATGGCGAGTGTGCCACACGTATTTCAACATTTTCTAAATTTTAATGATGATTTAAATATCCTTTTTTGTTATGGGAAATAGTATACAGCTTCACACTAAGCAATACAGGCATTTTTTTTCTTTCAATAATGCTTAAGTTACCAATTAAACTACTGATTTGACATACTGATTCATGTGAATTGAGTTAAATTTTAAGATTTGGGTAATTTGGCAGGTGGATCGGTATGTAAAAATCGGTAGCTTGATCGGTAAGTGTAGTATTGCTGTTTTTTTTTTTTTTGTTGATTCAGAAGGGTGGAGGATCGCATCATCAGTTGCTATAGTTGGGTACGTGAAACACAAACGAGGAAACATTGCTGCATTTCAAAGCATCTATCTCGTCATGTTATTATCAAGCATTACTAGCCTTAAAAGGAGCACAGGATTGCAGGTAAAGTATATGTGAACATAATTAAGCATTTATTCTCTATTTATAGCTTAAAGGTCAATGCTTCTTTAAGTGTTGGAGAAGCTGTCAATGGATAAGCAGCTTCGAAAGTTGAAACCATAAACATTCTTAGTGAACAAGTTATCTATGCTTCTGTCATTAACAGTATACAGGAGAAATAGATTAGGAAATTTTTTTTTTTTTTATTATAATCATAAAAGAAATGAGTTACAAGAGATTGTCATTATACAGTTTGTATATGCAATCTGGATATGGTTTACCTATGTGTGAGTTACAAATGGATAAACATATTTAAGGTCAGAATTTTTGGTAAAAGAATTAAAAAGGCAAGGTGCCGTCAGGATTGAATAATTGATGTATGGAGTCAGTGTCATAAAAGAAGAGTAAAGTATTTATTTAAATGTTAATCCACATTAATATCTTGGTAATCGTTTTACTCCTAACATTCGTTTTGCTTAATTAGTAAGTTTACTTTTCTGATAAACAAATCAAATCCCAAAATCATTCCATTCAAATTAGACCCCACAAAGGACAAAACTATAAATCTACATACATACATACATATGACATAACCCCTTTGCATGCATGGCTCTTTGTCTCTCTTTTCCTCTGACACGCGCCACTTGCCCCCCATCATGATGTTACCCTTTCTTACAAATTTTAATATTAAATTATTATCCTATATGGTAATGTAGCCTTATAGATGTATGTATTACAATTTACAATCCTGAATTAATAAATTTAAAGTTGATGCCCATGTTGCAAATCCGGTATGATTGTTTTGGTTACCACCACGGCACTACAGGACAAACGCACTTTGCAGCGGGCCTACCACGATATCAGGGATTCATTGAATCATATACGTCCAAAAACAACAGTGGGTCCTCTTTTCTTATGATTTAGAATTGTGTGATCAGGTGACCATCATGGGCAAAGTGGGTGCGCTTTACACTTACACCCTATCTCTTTATTCTTATTCATCAAACTCTACAGTGTACACGCTCCAAATTTGTTTAAAAACGCATATATTAAATTAATGGTATTATTTGAGATAAAAGTATAGATTTATAAATATATTTGTAATTATCCATTTTCCGTGATAAGAGTTTTTGAAGCGAGGGAATCTTGTTCCCACTTTAGGAGGCTTGCCGGCAGTTTCCTGTGTCCATAGCTTTGTGCCACATTTTTCTTTTTAAATTACTGTAAGGCCGGTTGGATGGATTAATATTAGATAATTGAGATAATATTTTTTAAATTAAGTAGAAGATGATGTTTAATTGGTTTGTAAAAAATTATTCTTGAAATATTTTATGACAAACAGTGATATTTTGGGGGTAAATTATCAGGAATCTTAATACTTTGGGGGGCTGTTTTAAGACTTACCTAAGGTAATATAATTTTATTTCCCATATTGCCTCTAAACAATTGAGCATTTAGTCCAAATTAGCCTTATATTTGTTAAGATTTACAGAACACTCAATTCATTCATGCAAACCCTTTTGTTTTCACATTTTTAAATTTTTCAAACGACATTGCCCTTGTTATTGTCATTATTTATAGAAATATCATTATACCCAGAACTAGCCACCATCACCAGCCACCGTGGACCGTCGCTGAAGGTTGCCAAAAGTCGACATATTGGCCGTATATGGCCAGCTGTGCGCCAGTGAGGACAACCAAATCTATGGCTGTTTCAAGACCAAAGATGTGGCTGTGAAACGGTCACAAATCTACGTTTCACAGCCACATATTTGGCTGTTTCACGGCCATTGCTAGATCTGTGGCACTATTGGAGGCCGCTGACGGTGGTGGCTGGTTGCCAACAGTGGCTTAGGGTGGGTAAGGGTGTTTTTATTAAGTTTAAAACATTTTTGGTTGCTAGGATGTTTTTGCTAAATCTGAAAAGTTGGGAGTTAAAAGAAATTATTCAAAAAATAATAATAATAAATACTATTATATTAATATTTAAAAATGTGAGCAATTTAGTAATCTATGTAACATACCCACTAATTTATCCTCCCAACCAAATATATTATTCACTAATTTATTCGAACCAACCAAACACATTTTTTAAACATTTTCAGTAATCTTAAGATGATTTTTTATGTCGTTAATATAATATTTCCTGTAATCAAATATTATATGATCTAAACGCTCTCCAAATATAATCTTTTGAGATTTTGTAACTGTAAGTCTTAGTACAGTGGTCACACTTATTAATGTCTAATAGGATTTGAAACTCAAAAATTCATAAAACCTCGTTTGGTTCATTTACCGCAGGCCAACCAGTAGGGGTTTTTGTGTAAAAAATTCTTTGCCCCCAAATGTTTTTAAATTTCAAGGTTAAAATTTAAAATTGTAGGATGACTCAATTTAAAGGGCCAGAATCACTAATTGAGTTAATGCTTCAGCAACTTGTGCTGATCTCAACATTAATAGCTCGGGAGATTTGACAGTAAAGTTTCTGAATCAATAGATTCAAATTTTAATATATATGGGATTGGGAACATTGACAGATTGACTAATAGCAGCTTCCATAATAAAGACACAAGTGATGAGATCAAATATGAAAGAGGTCTGGTGTAGACGGCGGCGTCCGTAACAGAAGCTGCACAAAATAGCGGCATATGCTACGAACCCTTTTAATATTCCTTCTCTCTCTCTGCTTCGTAGGCTGTAGGCATATGCATACCACAAGGGTTCTATAGGACCACGCGCAACTCCCCATAACAACATTAAATCACTGTAACAACATCTCTCTATCAGCTTACCTAATTTTATTTTTCAAATATTTTCTCAAAATTTTATTTAAATTTTCATGTAAACAGAAGAGAAAACGACATTTCCCACCCTATGGTTTGGCAAATCTACCGTTCCCACCCCTAATTTCATAAATTGCAGATTCCCACCCTTAAATTAACAGGTAACCTTTTAATGTAACAGTTAAAAGGGTAAAATAGTCATTTCAAATATCAAAATTTCAAAATAACCCTTCACTTCTCTAACCCACCCCACCGGCGATTTCAGGCTATTCCGGCATATTTTCGACACAATCAACCCCTCCTGACACCACCATTACAATCCCCTCAACCCCCACATCAAAACCTCTAACCTCCCCGCCTGATTGAACCCCGCAATTGTTGGCCGTCACTTTTATTGTCAATCAGCATTTCATCCAAATTTCGACAAGTCCTGACATCGAAAACCACCCCTAAGACCACCAATAGCATTGCCTGCTTCCCCCCACCAAAACCCCCAACATTTCCGATTGCAATTGCCCACCGATCACCGTCGCCTCTCCCTTAGGTTTTTGCATTTTTTCACCCCTTTCCAGCCAGATTTCAGCACCTCGTCCAGGTGCAATCGGTTGGAAAAGGTAGAGGTTTTGGTGAGGAGAATAAGGGGATGCTGATGATGATATCCAGGAGGTCCAATGGTGCCGAAATTAGGTCGGATTTTTGGCTTGGCCGAGATCCTCTGACAATTATTTGAGAGAAATTTGAGATGTAAGAGTTATTTTGAGAAAAAGTAACAACATTAATTTAAGAGTGGGAATCTATAATTTATGAAACCAGAGGTAAAAACTTGTAGATTCGCCAAACCTTAGGTGGGAAAATGTCGTTTACTCTAAATAGAAAAATGATCTATAACTTTTAAATGAAAAGGTTGTAATTAAAAATGAGCACAGGGTATATGATTATATGTAGATGTAACATGGAGTTTCTAGCTATCACATTACTTTAATGCAAAAACAAATATTTGCTTTGCACAGGTGACGTTCCATACTTGAAAAAATAATATAAATCTTGTATTAACTACGCGCTGGGATCACACACCTCCAACATATCACATCACCGCTGAATTTCTTGATTCTTCTTAATCAGATGGTTAAAATTGGCTTAATAAACAGCTACGTTCTAGATCAATTCGCACATCAATAACACAATTGATTTTTCGAAATACAGGCTTCTCGGTTACTTCTCACGCCCATTGCCTCTTCACAAGTTCACATACACCTAGCGCTCTCGCTCTCTCTCTCTCTCTTTCTCTCTCTTCTTTCTTGAATTCCCTGTAAACTCTCTGTGACGAAGACAACAACGAACCAATGATCTTCTTCCTGGCGGGAACAGACGCATCAGATCCCGAGATACCTGATTTACCATTCTATCCCTTACTAAAGATTTAAAGTTTAAACGCGTCACCTTCGTCACACCATACGCCTTTCAAGCCAAGCAACCTTTCAATTTTCCATTTCTTCCCGTATTCTCAAGAAAGTGGAAGAGAAAATATGAGAGAGGATTATTCTTATCTTTATTTGTTGAGTTTGACCTTGCATAGAAGTTAGTTAGCCTTATTATTAGTTTTTGTCTTTTTTTGTTTCGATACCTGTGTTCGGTTCTTGTCCGTTGATCTCCCCCCTGCCGGCCTCCAATTCAAGCCGTTGATTTGTCCATCGTGGACACTCCTCTTCTGTTATGAAGTTTGGCGGTGAATTTCTCTTCTCTTCTCTTCCACTTCAATGGAATTCTCTTTATCATGGTCTCCTCTCCCTCTCTATATGTACGTTTTACAATACAGGGATGTATATATATTAATGAAATGCATACATATACATATAAAATATGCATGTAAACGATTTAATTTCCGTTTGTTGTTATAAAATGGAGACTAATACAAGTTTTTATGTGTTTGTGTGTTTTTGGGATTACGAAGCAGTGGCTTGTAGCGATTTGAGGTCGAAGAGAAACTCTAATGGGGAAAGATAATGATACTAAATGTGTATTTCCTTTAACAAGTCTCCAAATTGGGTAAGATTTTAACTTGTTTTGTGCTTGATTACCAAAGTTTCTTGTTTAATTCAAATGAAAATTATATTGTGGAATTTGTTCTTTTTGAATTGGTCCTTATCAAGTTAAATTTGGAATTGGTTATCTAATTTGAGTGGAATATCAAATAAGAAGTTGATTTGTGCATTTATGTTGAATGTTGACAAAACTGTGATCATGTAATTTATTAGGATTTTGTTGTTTCAGTGAAATGAACTGGGTTGTTTAAGCTTTTTAGATGAGTTGTAAGCTTAAAATGTGCCATTTCTGACTCTCAGTTTAATGTATTTTGTTAGCTGGTAATTTTTGCTTATGTGTCCAAGGGCGAGTGTTTTTGGGAAGACTAGGATAAGAGAGAGCTGATGATATTATCTGTATCTCGGATGATGTTTGCTTATTGGTGTCCATGGAAAGTGTTATCCGCATCGTCCTTGTCAAATATATGATGACTAGTTTAGATTAAGATGAAATTTTAAATGATTGTCATGCTAATACTCTAATGATTTAAGCACTTCTTTTTGGCTTATCTCTGGCTAGTTTATTTATGCACAAGCATTTATCTTACACCCTTATAAGCCACTCTGAAGATGTTTTTGAGATATGTGAAACTTGTGATTGTCTTGTATTAGTGAAGCTTAGGTGTGGCTAGTCTTATCTATGATATTGTATTGTTGACATGTCTGAAAAATCATGTGTTCTCTGCTACTTGTTTGCAGAGATTTGCAGTCTTATCTTTCAGATCTTAGCCTCTTTCTGGCATTTGAAAGTAATAAAATCTACATTTTGGTGGACAACCGACCATGGCTGGTGGATCTAGATTCACGGCCAACACACCTGTGGCAACTGATGGTTACCAAGGTTGGTAAAAGTGGCTCTTCATGGCAAGATATTTTCTTTATTTTTTTATGATTGAATAATGAGGTTGCTTTTGTGTACAGTCCAGGCTATCTCCTTTTGCAAACACTAAATCACGGAGGCAGAGGGAGGAGGGAAAGGACAGTTGTTCCACACCTGGTGTTAGTAAATCAGAAAAGTTTAAGAGGTGGTTTTCTTTAATTGATGCTGCAACTTTGTCTCGAAAGCGGGCTTTGCTACCTGTTAAGACGCTTAGAAGCCATTTGCTTTTAAGCAGTGAGTTACATAGGACCTTGTATGGTTTTATTGTATTTGAAGTTTCATGGACTGATGTTAGAGGAATTAACTATTTAAATGAACTTCAGGTACCATCGCTGCTTTGTTCTCCATATATTGGTTGAAGTGAAATAAGTATCTCTGTTTAATGGTTTTTGTGTCATGTGCAGACTGATACCTCTTTGGCCATAGAAGCTAAATTTATGCGAAGATGGGAATTTGATAGCATAGCCCAAGCTGTAAGCTGTATATCTTCGTGGTTCTCAGGAAAACACCATGAACTGCTGCAATTGAGAGACTATCTAGAATCCACCATAGGTATTCTTTTGCCCTTTCCTTATCTGAACAGAATGAAAAATTGTGTTGAGGATTTAGCATCCATAAAAGAGTTTGTGCTTCAATGTTGATATATTATTAGTATGGATGTGGATATTTTCTAGACTTAGGTTTACCGCCATAAGTTTGCTTTTTTAAGTACCATAGTTGTGTTGCTGAAACTTCCATGTTTTGTAAGCTGTGTTACTCAAACCTCTAGGATGGTCAAAACTAGGTCAGTTGCAGCATCTATGTTGAATAGAAGTCTGTCTTGCATCTGTATTTCTCATAAAAATTCCTCTGCTTACTGCCACTCATGGTCTGTCCGGCAATACCTGCCTGTTCCTCTGATAGTATAATGATTATCTTATTATAGGTGTATTCTTACAGCTGGTCTTGCATTCTCTATGATATTTATATTGCATTATAAATTTTACCAACCATAGAGCAAGATTTTTCCTTCATCAAAGTTTGTGCATTTTTGCCTTAAAAATCATTGTTGTACATTTTCTTCCACACTAAAGAAGTAAATATGGTGTGAACATTTGATGTTGTCATGAAAACATTAGCTTACATATAAAGGAGCTTTACTAACAATATCTCATTTTTTTTTTTTAACTTTGTTAGGAGAGATCTTCTATGATGCTGAAGAAGAATTCTCGAGGGCTACCCCAAAAGGTGATGATGAAAACATTTGCCGTAATAACCAGTGTGGTGAAAATACTTCTCTCCAGTGCATTGCTAGCAGGTTTAGTGCATACGCTGGGACTACAGAAAGTAGAACAAATGCGCCACACACTCCTCCCCAAACTGGACCTTTTAAGAGAAGAAAAGTAATGAAGTGCAATGGTGATGGATTTGAAATTGAAGACTTGTTATGCAACTCTGGGACTTGTATTGATTCTGATATTGCAGCCAAAGCTACCGAGTACCGTGATGTTCTGATTTTATTTAGGTTCAATGACTGTGACCTCCCATTTAAATTAAGGAAAATCATAATGTCTGATCTCCGTTTACTTACTCTACTAGAGGCTGGACTTCCATCTTGGGTAATATTCCTCCAATCATATCCAGGATTTTGCCATCTCTATCGCCCCTGGATGTGCCCTCTTGTTCGAGCTTTATATGTGCTGATCTCAGTTGTCACTGTTCTAATAGGTTTTTATGATTTATACAAAAATGTCCCTGTTCTGAAAGCTACTGCTTCGCGTTTGTGTGGCCCTCTTTTGGATTGGATAGAAACTTGGGAGATGGTATCAAGAATTAAATACTTAGGGACAATGCTATTTTTGCACAACTTTCAGAAGGCTGTTCAATGGTTTTTGGCAATTACACGTACCATTCGGTCTTTTTTTTCAGTTGTTACATTACCAATGGCGGAACCTCTTATGGAGGTTTTAAGCTTCCTTCTCCCAGTGTGGAATACACTTGTTCAAGTGGTGGAGAGTTCTTGTTCGGTTCTTTGGGTTTTAATAGGCTCTTCTTGCAGTCTAATTGGGGACCTGATGGAGATTGTATTGTTGCCTATTTGGTTAATCATCTCATTTGTTTGGAAACTCGGTAGGTATCAACTACTTTGCTTTCTTTATGCTTTTCTGGTTTCTTTTACCCTTACATCAAAAATCAGAACTCTAATCCAATCTCCAATCTTTGTGGAAGTGGAACTAAAAATCAAGACCCTTTGTACAACTACTTGAGCCTTTATCAGCTGCACTAGATGATGCTCACAATAGATTGGGTTGCTTTGGTCGTTCATTTTATGAGCATTCGCTTTATTTGATGTAGTGATCTTTGAGACCTTGTATTAACTGTGTCAAATTTGGATTGCTCTGTGTTTCAGCAAATTCTGTTCTATATCCAATATTTTGGATGCTTTGGGAATTACTCTATGCCCCTATTCGCCTGGTCCTTGCACTAGCTAGTTTTGTGGCTTTCATTTTTGCTGGCATATCTGAATTGCTTGGAAATATATGGGGGGCTGTAAGTAGCATATTCCAGTTTGCTTCAGCTTCGGAGGCTACGGTGAATGCATATGAAGTTTCCATGTGGCGTTCACTTTGGAATGACCTATTCTCCCAGGTTTGAAGATTTTTTTTATAATTGCTTATGGTGATTAGTATGACTTTGTTATGCGAATGGTTCTCAAACTTCACCAAAATCTTTCCAGGTTTTTCGTGCTGTCAGAGCATATAAATGGTTTTGTTGCATTCTTCATGGCCTGCAATAGACATGTCTCAGGTATTGTGTTTACTTTGCTTATGTCATTCTGCTTCGAAGTTGTTTTTGTTGGGTGCAACACTGCTTGAATATCTTTTTGTTCATCTAGCATTTATTTTTTGGTATGAGTTCATACTTGGCAACAGAGTGATTTACTTGAATTTATTTGCTAAGATTAATTGCAGAAGGATTCCGCAAATACAAAGAGGTTGGTCATGTGTTAGGGATTTAGTGTCAATTTGAATTGAGTTGAAAGATAATTATGCTTGATGTCTTTATTCAAACGTAATCAGAACTTTAATTACTCTAGGTTTTCTTAAAAACTTACTTTATTCTTACAAACTCTCTTCCATATCTTGCTGTTAATAAGATAGAATAAAAATTTTGTCAAGCAGGAATCATTCTGTGGTTTTTATCTTCCGCAAGGGATACTGTTTTTAAAGTTTACAGTTCTTTTGATCCAAGCTTAAGCTGCTACTAATACTTTTTTTTATGGAAGGCGTGCAGCATTTATAATCATATGCAGGATTTCATCCAAAGACTGCTCGGTCGAACCCAGAGATCAACCCTCAGATCATAACATAAAAAGTAACACGTAAAGATCAAAGTTCGGTAAGTCACTGTGGATGTGAGTGCATATGCACTGTGTTGTAGCACATAGAGATCTGATGAGTTATTTCTTCCAGATGCACAGATTATTTCTTGAGCTAATTGTGTGATGCTAAAGCTTTTTCAGTCAGAAGGAACGAAACTCTACACGAAGTGAGGTCCCATTCTTTTTGAGGCTTTAACAGAGGCGAATTTATGTCTCTAGTTCAACAGAGAATTGTGTTTCGGTACATGTACCTTCGACAAATAAAAGAGAAAAGGGTAAATTAACTTAGGCAACAAATGGAAGGAGAGGGCATACACCTGCGGATTCTTAACATTTTCTTCAAAACTACCATCGGAAGAGTTTTATCATTCTCTTGCTCCTTCGAGTTTATCGTTTCCATTTCTTTACCTGGTTCCCATCCTTTTTATTTTTGATGTAAATAACATGTACAGGAAGCAATTTATTCAATTTTCATTTTCTTTTTTTATGGGCGGTCTTTAATTGATAAGTACAGAAGGAAAATTCTACACACTCAAGACAACTAACATCAGAATGAGAAGACAATACATTAGAGGGGTCGCATTTACGTCCAACTGGATATTTCAGTCTGCACAGAGGATCATGACTGATTAAAAACTATTCCACATAGAAATTTGATATTTTTAGTGTTACATTCCAAATAACATGATATAAATATAGAACTCGCATAATACATGATAAACGAAATTTGAACAGAGCAGGGCGTAAAAAGAAGAGAGAGAGGCCAACAGAACATAAAACGACATATGTTTATTACGGATTCTATTTAATAATAGTTACAGTCAGAGCCCTCAAATAGAAAGCTAAACACTTAAAGCAACCATTCTAAATACTTAAAAAGCAACACCAAGTCACCAGCATAAATAAGTTTGTTACACGCCTCTAGGTACTTAAATCTCCTTAACATACATCCACATAATAGTTTCGCAGTACACATAGATTACTTGCTCTAACAGATGAGCATTACATCTTCAAAGCATTTGCCCCACCGGTTTGATGCAGCATGGCATCAATCTCATCACCATCTTCCATTTCAAGCTGAAACAAAAACAAAGAAAGTAAAATCAGTCATGGTCACCAAAGATTTAACGAATTTCCACCAAAAAAAGACAGGAGGGGGGGTTGTTAGTTCAAAACAAAAGAGAGTGTAAGCATTTCTTATGTATAGAAGCGTGCAGGATACCTCATCAGGGGTTTGCTCTGCTCTGAGACGACGGCCATCAAACAAGAAGGCAATCGAATTAAGCTCCACAGATTGTCTATCACAATATGCATTCATAAGCTTCTTCAGTTGGGTGCTTCTTTTGATCCTGAAGAAAACCTCATTCCCATCCTACAATCAAAATAAATAAAACTCACATGTAACTTTAATTGAAAGCCAACCTAACAGACAATAAACAGAATTTTTCCTCAAAGAGGCATAAGAGCATGTATTACTGCATTGCATGAAGTTCAATAAAGGAGATATGTATCTGCAATTAATTAAACAATAAAAAGACATTTACAATGATCAGGTTTCCAGAATTAGTTTGGCACTGGCAATTAATCCCGATACTGTTAAAACCCCAAAACTGGTAGTAAGGAATAATTATTCCATCTAAAAGACTACCCATGAGTCTCTCAAACAAAGGAACTTAACCTCCCACGAGAGATTAGAACTTTAAAATTTTTACAAGCTTTCTCATCAATGTCATACTTAAAAGTAGATCAAATAAAAGAACAACAGAAACTGTTTGAACTCACAAATAGTTAGGAAAAAAGTTTCCTTCCTAAGCTAAATAGTTTACACAAATTTTGTTCACAGGTTCTGAGTTTGCTGGTACTTTAAGTTTCTATTAGTTAGTTGTTAAACCCCCAGGTATCTTTAAGCCAAAAATTAGGTATTAACTCTTTGCTAGTGAGGAGGCAAGTAGAAGAAAACTATTAAGTAGAGGAAATGAATAGTGGAAGGAAGAAGACACATCCTTCCTTCAATTTCAACCTCATTTGGTTGATAGGAAGAAAAAGCAGTGATTTGTCCCTCTCCACTTCTATTATCTTCTAAAAAAGGAAGGAAAGTGAAATCGTAATGAACCAGAAGATCATATATATTACCATATAGTCAATCATATACCTATGTATAAAGTTAAAATTTTTTTACATTTAGTTATGTGTATAAATTTTACTAAAGCCAAAGATTAAAATATGAAATAATGAAATATAAAAATAATTTCTCCCCTGTCTTACCCATGTTCTTTTTCCTTTTCCTATAACCAAAACTCAGTATAAAAAACTAAAACAATTTCGACTCGTCTTTGTACTCAATTTTCTCCCCAAAAAAAAAAAAAAAAAAAAAAATCCACTATACAAATAAAACTACACGATCATTCAAATATAAGCCCCAAACAAACATTTACTTGAAGCCAAAACAAAAATCAAACTGAGATATACAAATTCTACACATATTAACCCAGAAAAACCAGACCCTTACGGTTCACAACAGTAAAAATCCAAACTTTAAACCAAATACAACAAATCCTTATATAATAACCGTTATTATGAGAAATCCTGAAGCAATAATATACAATAATAAACTGATAGACCAAAAAACACAAATAAAAACAAAACCCTAAAAATAACAGTTTGTTTTGGAAAAAAAAAAAAGCCAAATTTAAAAAAAAAAATAAAAAGAAAATAAAAGAAGGAAACCTGGCCTTTGACTTTGAGGTTGATGTGAGCAGATTGATCGTTGGGCTTCTTGTCTTCCTCTTGCGCTGGATTCGTAACGCCTGACATCTTCTCTTCTTCTGTGTTTTCAACAATTTCGGGATTCCTTAAAAGCCTCAGTGGCGATTGTTTTCTTCTTTTTTAAATTTATATTTATGCGATACAGACGAGTAGACGGAGTTGGGTCTCTGTTTGACTGTATACGTGTTGGCATATTATTGGCTTGGAGTTTTACTTGACAAACTAATCTAGGGTTACGAAATCTGAATTCGCTTTCCCAGATGGGCAAAAGGCTTGGATTAAGAGTCCAAAAAGCCCAATGGGCTAAAATTATCCTATTTCCTTACAGAAAACATATTTTTATTTTTCTCATCGCATATTATTAGACCAAAAGCTTACCGCTTACCTTTTAACTGAGTTTTATTCAACAATAATACTATACTTACAAAGAAATCTTACAAAAATTTACAAACAAAATGAGATGACAAAAAATGAATAGAAGAGTGAAACAAAAAGTCAAATTCATTAAACTCACTCTTTCATTCATTTTTTTGTCACATCACTTTGTATGAAGATCTTTGTAAAATTTTTTTGTAAGTGTAGTATTACTCTTTATTCAAATAAATATGTAAGTATATAATAAGAAAGCAATATTATTAGATGGGTCAATGGATTAATACGTGTTCTTAAAACAAAATATAAAATGGGTAGAGTTTTTAATTAGTATTATTATTTCTTAGGGTCGTTTGGATTGGGTTGATATTATATAACGGAGATAATATATTTTAAATTGGATAGATAACAATGTTTGGTTGTTTTGTAAAAAAATATATATATATCAAACAGTACCAAATTGGGGGTAAATCTCCAAGAATAATATTACCTGGAGGAAGGAGTTATTAAAATATTATTCCGGTAATCCAAAATTCTATCCAATTTTGCCCCCAAACAGTGGACAATGTGAACGAAAATAGCCTTAGCTTTGTTAATAATTACAAAACACCAAATTTACACAAGAAAACAGATTTGTCCTCAGCTTTTTTATTTTTCGGACAAAATTGTCTTGCTTATTATCAATATTTTCAAAAATGCCACGAAATACGTATTGTTGTGCCCATATTATCCTCACATATTTGCATATTGTGACCAATATGCCCTTTTATTTCACTAAAACTACAATATAAAAAGAAAAAAAAAATCTCAGCCTTAATACACATTTTGACCGAGACTCTGCCTTAAACCTCCATCGTCGTTGCTGGTCTTCTTCTTCTCGATCTTGTTCTTGACTTTATTACTTCGATCGCCATTTTCCGGTAAGTCAAATGCCCTCTTTCCATTGTATTTTTCATTTTGGGTTTGTTTTACGTTCGTTAGTCTAAGATCTCGCTCTTGCCTTTGTTGTTGGTCGACCATCTTTGCCACAACACCTTGGGTTTTTGTCTCCATTTGTTTGATCCGGATAGCACTCTAATCGCCATTTCCGGACAGCACTACAAATGTACCAACAATTCTCACACTTTTCACACATAATTTCGGTCTAGGGTAAGTGGGAAAAGTTAACAAAATTCCTCAAATTTGGAAACTTGCATCTCAATTCCAGCCATGGTGTAAACCAAAAAAATACAATTTTTCTTTTGCCTTGAAAAAAAAAAAAGAAAAAAAAAAAAAAGAGGCTTCAATTGGACTAAAGTAGAAATCAACATGTAGGAACTATAATTTGGGGCAGTACACAAATCTAAGTTTTAATTGGGAGATGGAAACTATATTAGTTGCAATAACAAGATGAGGTGTTAAATGTATACCCAATAGAAGATGCAATAGCTTTTTTTCAAAGTTTCAATAGTGTGTAAATTTGTCAATAAAATACTTAGCTAAAATATAAGAAAAAATAATTTTGTTAACTGATAATTTGTTTTATTAACTAAAAACATTAATTATTTATACCTAATAATCATCTAAAATGTATTTTAATAAAATGTAATCAAGACATCTATTCTTACAACCAATTAAACAGATTAATTAGTGATACAATAAATCTTCCAAAAGACATTCTAATAAAAAGTTATTTAAAGTCATATGTTATTAGTATTATCAAACAAATATCTTAATTATTAATACATTTCAATTGAATCAGTACTTAGTTAAACCCAATAACCTATCAAATAAACCATATTTCCTGTAATCTTATCACTAGATAAAAAAAACATTTAATCCTAAAAACTTTTAACCATGGAATGCACAGAAAACACGCCAGGTAAATCCTCTTCCATTTAACTGTAAAGTGTAATGTTACAGTTATCGATTAAGTTTTGTGAATCGAATGACGTCGTGATATAATTTTGATAGTTAATTTATTATAAATTAAAATTAATCAGGGTGTAATGACCGTAACTCTATTTTCCAACTGCAAAGAATCACATCAATTATTGAGCTGCCGTACTTTTTTTCGCCCTACGCTTTAATCGCACCCAATTCCTGTCCCACGCCAACGTTCATATTATTATTACTATTTATTAAGTAAAATAAACGTCTACCTGCACTATTTATTTAACTCATCAATTAATTTTATACACTGCCACACACTACCACCACCATCAATGAACCTGCACTAGAATCCACCTAAAATCATTGACTTCCATCACATCATACGACACGCGTCACAAACAGACAATAACCTGCATCGAAATTCATGCTCCCTCGGAAAAATAAAACTACTACGGCACTAGAATAAAAATTAAAACGGTCGAGTTTGTGGGCCACGTGAACAGTGGTCCCACGTGGTTGTAGTCCAAGTGGGGATCGTGGTTCGTGCAGTCTGCAGCTACTCTCTCAACCTTTCTCTTTTGTCATATTCTGACACGTGGGTCCCTTCATCATCTTCTTGATCTCTGGAATCTCTTCCCTCTTTCTTTGTATACCCCTAAACCCTACACACTCTTCCTCACTCAATTAACCCACTCAGACTCCCTCTTCCTCTCTCACTCTCTTTCATGCTCTGCTCATCCAAGAACCAGAGCATGGAGCGTTACATTGTTGCTGGCTGCTTCTTACTCTTCTCCATTTTCGTTTTCGCAGGTAAAGCTTAAACCTTTTTCTATAATTTCTCAGGCAACGTCAGATTGGACAAAGGCATTGTTCATTAATCTTGTTGTGCATTTTTTTTTTGCAGAGGCGGGTTCAATAGGAGTGAACTATGGACGTATTGCGAACGACCTACCTTCAGCAACCAAAGTGGTGCAGCTTGTGAAGTCTCAGGGCATTGAACGGATCAAAGTATTCGACGCAGATCCAGCTGTTCTCAGAGCTTTATCCGGTTCCGGAATCAAAGTCACCGTCGACTTACCCAATGAGCTTCTCTTCGCCGCCGCCAACCGCGTGTCTTTCGCCAACTCTTGGGTACAGAAAAACATCGCTGCTTACTATCCAGGTACCCAAATCGAAGCCATTGCCGTGGGCAACGAAGTCTTCGTTGACCCTCACAACACCACCAAGTTTCTTGTACCTGCAATGAAGAATATCCACCAAGCTCTTGTCAAGTATAATTTTCACTCTGCCATTAAAGTCTCTTCACCAATAGCTTTAAGTGCTTTACAGTCTTCTTACCCCTCTTCAGCTGGATCTTTCCGAACCGAATTAATACAACCCGTTTTTAAGCCCATGTTTGATTTCCTTCGCGAAACTGGGTCATTCCTCATGGTCAATGCGTACCCATTTTTCGCCTATGAGTCAAACTCTGACGTCATCCCTTTAGATTACGCTTTGTTTCGGGAGAACCCCGGTGTTGTGGATGCAGGTAATGGGTTACGTTATTTTAGCCTCTTTGATGCTCAAATCGACGCCGTTTTTGCTGCAATGTCGGCTCTTAAGTACGACGATCTCAGAATGGTTGTTACTGAAACGGGTTGGCCTTCAAAAGGAGATGAAAATGAATTGGGTGCAAGTGTTGAGAACGCCGCCGCGTACAACGGTAATCTTGTCCGTAGAATCTTGACGGGTGGTGGGACCCCTTTGAGACCAAAGGCGGATCTGACCGTTTATCTCTTTGCTCTTTTTAACGAGAACAAGAAAAACGGTCCCACCTCGGAGAGAAATTACGGGCTCTTTTATCCAAGTAAGCAAAAGGTTTATGACATTCCATTCACTTTGGAAGGGTTGAAGAATTACCACGGCCATCAGTCTCCAGTTACCGGTGGCCAACCAGTGGCGACGCCTGGCAACCGCGGAGGTGTGTCGAAGAGTACTACAGGGAACACTTGGTGTGTGGCAAATGGTGAAGTGGGAAAAGAGAAACTGCAGGCAGCTTTAGATTTTGCCTGCGGTGAGGGAAAAGCTGATTGTCGTCCGATCCAGCCGGGTTCATCTTGTTATGATCCGAACACCTTGGAAGCCCATGCATCGTTTGCGTTCAACAGTTACTATCAGAAGATGTCGCGTGCGGGTGGTTCCTGTTATTTTGGCGGTGCTGCCCACGTTGTTACTCAGCCACCTAGTACGTGTTTTTTTCCTTAATTTTTAAGCTTTTTCTTTTCATTCTTTAGTTTTTAGCTTGTTCATGTTAGAGTGTGTATTCGTAAATTTGATGAAATGCACCGGTGGACTCCATGACCAATTTGAAAGCAAGGAAGAGTGAAAAGCCTAAAAAAAGGACACCACTTGAGTGGGCTGTAATGGTGAAACTTTTTCTTCTCAACAAGCTTTTACTTGGCATGTATTGACCTGTGGACCCATGTTTTTCTTGATAAGTGGGCTTCATTGGGTTCTCTTTGTTAATCAAATGGGAAATTACTAAGGGTATAGTAGAGCTTTGACGGTATCAATATTTTAATTATACGAGTACATTTCCCTTCTTTTTGATATTTTGCATTTTGCTAAAGCCGGTGTGTTATGTGTTTGCAGAGTATGGAGCTTGCGAGCTTCCAACTGGATATTGAGAAGGGAAGAGAGATATGCAGAAGGGTGAAGTGTTGTTATCCTGAGAGGGATTAGTACTAATTTTATTGTAGCTGGTTTTGGTTTTACTTCACATATTTTTGGGGTGTCGCTAATCTGATGTATTTGTTCTATTGAGTGGTTGGGGTTTGTTGAACATTTATTCTGACATCCTTTTCTGTAATTATTTAATCTATATATATTGCTTAATGTTTACTCTTAATCTCTGTAATCTTTATAGTTGACTTGGTTGTTTATGAATTGGTCTTTGCTGATCTAAACATTCACGCTTTTGACAATAGATTCTGATAACCGCATTACGTGGAGCTTATAATATTTCAATTTCTGATAACTGCATATTCAGGAAATAGTATATGGCTTATTATATTTCAGTTTTTATATAAACTCCATATTTAGTTGCTATATGATCTATGGGTATATAAAATCAGCATGTAAATAGCGCTATGAATGAATGTGTATTTATTTGTCGTAAGAATTGAACCGTCATCACCTCAATAATTATAAATGAGTTGGAATATAGGGCTGTGATGTATTTGATAAGAAAACCATTTAAAACGAGATGGTTACTCTGGATGTAAAACAAGTTTTAAATCGTTGTGCAGCGACGTTTTCCCATCCAAGGTTTGGCGAAACTATAAGTTCTCACCTTGGTTTCATAATATGCAGATTTCACTCTTAAATTAACAGAAAATACTGTTTAATCTAACAATTAAAAGGGTAAAATGATCATTTTAAAGATAAAAATTTCAAAATAATCCTTCACTTCTCAAATTCATCCCACCAAAAAATTTCAAAATAACTTTTGACTTCTCAAATTCACTGCACTTACGATTTTAGGTCATTCCAGCCTGTTCCTGGCATAATCGACCTCTCCCAACACCACCATTACAATCTCTTCAATCCCCACATCAAAACCCCTAACCTCCCCGTCTAATTGAACCCTCCAATCGCCGACCGCTGCTCTTAGATTCAATCGGCGTTTCATCCAAATTTTGACAAGTCTCGACACTGGAAACCACCCCTAGCACCACCAATAGCATCACCGTCTTCCTCCCATCAAAACCCCCAACCGCGCCAACCGCAATTGCCGGCTAATCCCCGTCGCCTCTCCTCTAGGTTTTTGCGTTTTGTCGCACCTTTCCAGCCAAATTTCGGCACCTCATCATGGTGCAGTTGGGTGGAAATGTTAGAAGTTTTGGTGAGGAGGAAGGGGATGTTGATGGTGGTGTCAGGGAGGTCCAATGGTGCCAGAATTACACTGGAATTTTGGCTTGGCCGAGATCCTCTGGGGTTTTTTTGAGAGATATTTGAGACGTAAAGATTATTTTGAGAGAAAAGTAACAGTGTTAATTTAAGGGTAAAAATCTGTAATTTATGAAACCAGGTGAGAATTTGCAGATTCACCAAACCTTGGATGGGAAAATGTCGTTTACTCATTTTCTTAAGGTATAAACGTTTATTTTTGATTGATATGTGCATCAGTTGCCATGGTTATGCTATACGCATTAGGGGAATTTACTATAATGTTGTAACCCACGAATAATATTAGCTTCTTCTTACTTAGCAACTGGGTCCGGCAGAGGCAGAAACTATTTGTTGACGCAAACATGAGGTAAGTTCCCATTGGATTCCAGTTGTAAGAGAGATATACCAAAGCCAGAAGCCACCAGTTTTGACCTCTACTGAACTTATTGCTAGTATGAATAGAGATAACTCATAAAATGACAATAAAGAATGAAAAATACTTTGCAGCTGGTCCTACTTGGAAAATTGGAAAGAGGGTTAATTTGTTAGGTCCAACTACTAGCTATCAACATAAAGTTACCTTGGATCCTGATTGAATAATTATGCATTTTGTTTGTACAGTTAATTTAAGAATATACATACAATTCAAATTAATCCATTAAATTTGAAGTGTGAGGGCAGCCGAATCTATAGTTACAATGAGAGATAGACAAGGAGCATGATGATGAATGTAGTAGTAGAAATTGGAAAAGTTGTTCAAAGTTTTAAACTTTATCACATTCCGAAACGGCAATGGTCTTTGACAAATAAAAAAGTGGGAGTCATTTTCTTTAGTTTATTGAGAGAGTTGTTCCCATGTGCATTACAAACTGCCACTGCAAATACTCAACCGACCCACAACGATGCTGTATGCGTTACTCACCATCATTAAAATATAAGAACCGCCTCCTCTTTTTTATGTTCAACTTTCAACCTTTTAGTTAAATATATATATATATATTGAATGTAGACAGATAGTACGTACAGCACCTGATATGTCGGGTTACAAGATACAAGTGTCAAATCTTTGATCAGAGATTCCGCTGCCCTACATTTTCACATGTTCTCACTCTATTATTCACTCTCCTATTTACCATTTTTTGTTTCCTTCTGCAAAGTCACACTCACTTCACAGACAGACAGACACTAGGGGTGAAAAAACCGGTTAACCGGAATCTTGAATCGATCCGGTTTTTAGTTTAAAAAAATAATTAAATCAAAATCAGTCTGGTTTCGGTTAAAAACGGTTTAGTTAATTGATTTTAAACCGGTTAATTAGAATTAATATTTGGCTGATTTTTTTTGGCCCAATTATGAATTATGGGCTGCATTTTTCGGCTCAATTCGGTTTTTTCTTTTTATTTGTTTTATCTTTTTAACTGCTAATCAAACAAACTAAACGGCCTTGTTCTGCCCAAAAACAATAAGAATAGCTGTTTCTTTTTGCTAAATATTGTACTAATCAAGTAATTTGTCTATCGTTTAATCTTGTTTTGCAATTTCCTTTTTGTTCTGTTTGCTACACAAATTTGATATTAACAGGGAGAATTTCTATATCTACATATTCTATTGGGAGGTTTTGCATTTGCAGATGAAGAAACGGAAGCTTAAAAGCAGAGCAGAAGAGAATGGAACTTGAAGAAGAGAAAGACTGATGGTCCCAATACATATATTTTCCATGCATCATTTATGTCTGGCCGTGGCAGATGAGATTAGTGGTGTTGTGTTTGCTGCACAAAATTTGATATACAAAATGTGTTGATGCTTCAATGTCAAAACCCAGCCATCACCATCAGTACATATACAAATTAAAACCAAAATCTTCAATGTCAAAACCCATATCTGAAAACGTGACAACACAGTTCTGAAAACCCAGATCTAAAATAAAACCCACCGACAACAGACGACGACGACGACGATTGTGACAACGATGACTGCAGCTGAGTGACGACGATGTGAGAACACAGATTTGAAAACCCAGATCTAAAACCCATCGGAAACAGACGACGACGGCAACTGCGACAATGACGACTGCAGCTAAGCGACGACGACGTGAGAACACAGATCTTAAAACGGAGAGACAATGAGATTCTGACAAAGAGTGAGAGACAGAGAATGAGACTGAGCGTGAGAGTGAGAGTGAGAGACAGAGACTGAGCGTGAGAGTGAGAGTGAGAGACAGAGACTGAGAGAGAATGCGAGACTTATCGTGCGACTGCGGCTGCGGCATGCGGCAGTGAGAAGTCTGAGAATCAGAGAATGAGTGTGGTGTTACTTAGTTCCTTGTGTTAGTGTTAGACCAGAGTGACAAGAGTAAAAAAACGTAAAAACACATAATTTTTTTTAATATTCGGTTCAGAAAATCGATTTCGGGTAACTGGAATTTATTTTGCTAAAAACCGAAACCTAACCGGATTTTCGGTTTTTTTAATAATCAAACCGAAATCGAAAAAAACCGGATTTTCAGTTCGGTTTTTCAATTCGGTTCTGTTTACGGGTTTTTTTTCCACCCCTAAAGTCCAACCCTCTCTCTGTATTTTACAAAATTAGAGATGTTAAACTAAGGTAGATCCATATCATCTGAGGTTAAGTTTTTAGTATTTTTAGGGGTTTTCACTAGTTTTTGGGGGCTTTTAATTAGACTAGTTTTAAGGTGTTTAAAAACCATTGCTTGCCAGATTTTTTATGGACTAGTTTTGACTGGTTTAAAACCCCCCCCAAAACCAATGTAGTGTATTTTTGAGGGGTTTATAAAACACCCAAAATCAGGGTGTTTTGGCTGGTTTAAAAATTTTATCCCAAAAAAACCTCTTTTCACTGTTAATAATCCCTTTGCTGCTAAAAAAAAAGTCATAGAACAGAGGAGCCAGTCAACCTCTTTGTTTGATTCTTCCTTCTCCAGCTTCTTCAATTCTCTCAACAAGATTTGTTTCTCTCTTTCTCTCTCATTTTTTGTTTGGGTTTACCATGCCATGCTTAAATGAGGGAAGGATCCTTTGTTCTTCATAATTGATTTGCCTTAGATTTGCAATAGGTTATTCTATTAATCACATTTGAGATGAATTGCCGCTTGTTTGAAAGGTTATACTTCTTTTTAACTCGTATTACTTCATTCAATCTTCAACATTTAGATGACTGTTACAATGCTTTTGAATCTTTCATTTATAGAATAATACGTTAGAGTCAAATCATAAATTAGGCTTCTTTTTTTTTAATTTTTTCAGTTTGTTTTGTGTGAGCATGTGTGAGACTAAAACCGTTTTATTATTTGAGTTCTCTTTTTTGCATGCTTGTGCTGGCTCTGGCTGATATAAGTTGCCAATTAATCACATTTTTATTTAAAATACTACACCAGATGCTAATCCAAGTTGATGATGGCTAAACGTTTATGGAAAGAAACCCCTAAGCCCTCTACCATTTTCTATAATGTAATATTCTTCCAATTAAGACAAGAACAAAAAGCCAAAGCACCAATTAAACTTGGAAGGAACTTTGATACTAAGTATTGGTAATTGAAAAAAAAAACTCTCAAGTACTGGTTGAAGTTGTGGTATTTTTATGGACATATATGTAAATTTATCATTTTAAAAAACTGTCAGAACCGCTGGAAAATAAACTCCTAAGCACAGGTTGGATGTTTTAAAAACCGCTATTAAAAACCCCTCAAAATTGTTACGGTGGTTTACCCTTAAAACCGCTACGATGGTTTACCTTTATAACCGTTACCATAAAACTCCCAGCAGACCCTTAGAGTACTCATTTTCTGGCTATAAACAATCATCTGACATCATGAACAAACTTTTTTAGCAAAAACTAGAGCTAAAAATGCCTTAATCTTTCATTCACAATTAGGGAAGATAAGTTTATGTTAGGTTTACGATAAACTTAGCACTACTCTTATCCAATAATAGGGCGTTATCTCAATTGTTAATGTGTATTTATGGGTTTTGAGGATTTGGCGAAAAGCTTGTGTGAATTGTGTAGCAACCAATAGGCTCAGCTCAGCCCAGCCCATATAGCCTCATGACGAACCATTGGGCCATGTAGGTTGGAAGTTAAAAATGTGAAAATGTTCAACAGAATTATACGGCTGCAATCAATGGTTCATCTAGATATTTGGAATACACGCGTTAAGTGTTATCATTCATTTAACTGATTTGTTGACTTGGTCAACGAAATTTACGATTCTTCATAATTAATAAAACCGATTTAGCTAAAAGTTTAAGGCTGTCTCAATAGTTTTCACCATCCAAATAAAAAATAATCACCTTCCCTCTACCATATTAAAAAATTTCCTGTAAAAAATCCTTCAAAATCACCTCCTCGTTATTGATCATTTTTCACAAGAAAAAACCCACTACAGCTTTGAGGAAAGAATTGAACAAAATATGCCAAGCAAGCTGAAGAAGGCAATTGGGGCAGTTAAAGATCAAACAAGCATTGGATTAGCCAAGGTTTCTAAATCAACACCATCAAACGTTGAAGTTATAATCCTTAAGGCCACCAGACATGATGAAATTCCGGTTGATGATCGCTACCTTAACGAATTGCTTCAATTGATTTCTTCCAACAAAGTTCATGTTGTGGCTTGTGCACAAGTCATTGCCAAGAGAATAGGCAGGACTCGAAATTGGATTGTTGCTCTTAAGTCCCTCGTGCTTATTCTTAAAATATTTCATGATGGTGACCCTTTTTTCCCTAGAGAAATTGTTAATGCAATGAAACGTGGTCACAAGATTCTCAACCTTACAAATTTTAGAGATGACTCCAAGTCAAGCCCCTGGGATTATACTGCTTTTGTTAGGACTTTTGCCATCTATCTTGATGAACGTTTAGATTGTTTTCTTTCAGGGAAGCTTCAAAGAAGATATACAAATCGAGAAAAGGAGAATGGTGGAGCTGGGAGATGCCACAAACCTGTTACTGACATGAAACCAACACTTTTAATTGACAGAATATCAAGTTGGCAAAGATTGCTTGATAGAGCCATTGGTACAAGACCAACTGGTGCAGCCAAAAGCAACAAACTGGTTCAGATTTCTCTGTATGCAATTGTACAAGAAAGTTTTGATTTATACAGGGATATATCTGATGCATTGGCGCTTCTTTTAGATAATTTCTTCCATCTACAATATGAATCATGTGCGAGTGCGTTCCAGGCTTGTGTCAAGGCTTCAAAACAATTTGAAGAGCTTTGTTCATTTTATGCATTGTGTAAGAGTATTGGGATTGGAAGAACCTCCGAATACCCAAGTGTACAAAAGGTATCAGATGAGCTTGTTGAAACATTGAAAGAATTCTTGAAAGACCAAGCTTCTTTCCCTAGAAATGGGAGCAGATCACCAGTAATGCTTCTTCCAGCGCCACCAGTACCTAATAATAAGGACCCTTGTTCATCAAGTTCTGAACCTGGTGATGAATATATTTATGATCAATCATCAGGACCAACAGAAAGAGAATCTGAATTTGGTTCGCTAGGAACAAGCTCGAGTGCATCTTTTGAGCAATATTGTTCATCTTCACGATCTGATCAACAAGAATATGACAACATTTGTACCATAGATACTATATCAAACCATTCTATGTCCCTCGATCAATGCAAAGACATGACTTTGGATATTTTATTTTTAGACGACTGCACGGCGGCAGAGCATAATCAACAACAACAACAAAAACATGAAAGAGATGAGTGGGAGCTTATGCTTGCTGAAACTGCCACACAACAACAATCAGAAACTTTAACCAATGCATCAATTTCGGACAATTTCATTCATCAAACTAATTCTTCGCCTGATCAGCAACCATATAATCCATTTCTACAAGATGCAATGGATGTATCAACCACTGTCAATAGTGAACAAGAAGAATTTCAAATCACTACAGATACTTTTTCAGCCGCTCCAACATTTCGGGCAATGCCAACATTTGAACATAATGTTGACCCATTTACAATGGCAATGCAGAGTGAAGATGATCCTTTTGAGTCGTGCATGGGTGACAACCATATGCATATAAATAATGGGTCTCCAAATAACCAAATTGTGTTGCATGAACAACAACTGTGGTTAAAGAATCAAAACAAGATTATAGCAAAGCGTATGGCTTAATTTAGGAAAACAAAGCAGAGGGTTGTGTATGCTTGTTTATACTTAGTTAACAGAGTTGCTTAGTTCTGGTAGGCCAAATTTAATAAATACATGCATGCGGATTGAAATAGAACACTCGCTTTAGCCTCATGAACGCTATTGTGAATTTTCTTGTTTTCTTTTTTTATTTAATTGCTAACAACGGAACTCAAACATACTTACAGCCATTATCAATAGGCTCCAGATATATATAGGAAGAGGACGGTAGATGTGGTATACAAATGAACATTGCCTTTAATATACTTTGAAAATATTGTAGACAGATGAAATGTATGATTAATTTTGTAATCCAAAGATGAGTTATTTAAAATTTTAACAGACAGACTGTCTACGAATAAGTACTGATGATATCTTCATGGTAATTGCATATGTTAAACAATGAAAGCGAGTAAGTTGTTCGTAATGTTTCAGTTTGACCTGGCGCCAATCTTCATGCTAATTGCATTTGTGAAAGTGAGGAAAAGAAACAATGAAAACGTTAAAACCATGTATTGCTGGGACATCATTCAAAAATCACTTGGTAAACAACTCAATCTAAGACCTTTATATTACCAGATATGCGTTGGCAGATTAAAATCCAACAGCAACTGTTTGAGTTAATTAGTCAACCAGGGAAGGGTGAATGGATGTGTTAAATCAGCATATCGATAAAGGTAAGGGACAAGGACCAACCTTATATAAACAAGATATTGTCCAGTCTCTACCCACTAAACTAGAATTAATAAAGAAAAAGAAAGAAAGTATAAAGCTAAACATATCCTAGATTCATTTTATGTTTGCCAAATAAACACCAACTAATATCAGTGGATGCCCAAGAAAAGCAAAAATGGTTAATTATTCCAACACTGCTGCAAAGTTGAAACAGCAATATTATAGAAACTACTTGTAAACAAGATAACACTTGAAATGGCATAGCTAAGATAGCTGGAGGAATCGGAATTACATGGTTGAAAGCATCAATGAAAGTAGAAGGAAGCATAGAAACGCAACCATGAGAAAAATGGCGGGAAAAAAAGAAAAACCGTAAACGAAGTGTGAAGCTTTACAGCTTGGTTTATGCGCAGCTTTAAAGAGAGCATCAATATCACGAGAAATATAACAAGAAAAAGTTATTCATTTCTTTAGTCGTTCAGATGCAGAGTAGAGTAGGGCACGGGTACCCATTCCTTCGTTTACAAAAACGAGCATGTGACAATGAAATGGTCCACACATCTTCCATCTTATTTATATATATGTAGTTGTAAATTCTTTCCCATGTGACATCCCTGGCCTGGGACCCCCAATTCCTCACTTCCCTATATCTGCGCCGAGCCTTCCTCTTCTTTTTCTCTTCAGATTCAATGACATCAGTACCGTTTGATCATGAATTACGACTTGTGATGCAGTGATCATACAAATCAAAACTAAGCATGAGGAAAGGGGGGGGGGTCCCTACCAAAATCTGATGAAGCGAAACTAAAGCTAACTAATTACCATTGATTTCCATGACCGTACCCAGGAAGCAATAAGCTCTAAAGCATTGGGGTGGTATAGATGTAGCATCAGGTACAATTTGTAAATCAGCAACGTCTGTCAATACAATCACATTCACCATCATCATTATTATCATCATACAAGAAACCAAGCAAAACCAGACAAAAGGAGAATCAATGTTTCTGATAAATCATCATACCACACTATTTCAAGTAAAAACAAATACAATAACAGTTGCCACTAACCATGTACATTATCAAACAAGATTCATCAAAAATTAAAAAACATATAATAACAATCATAACTTCTTGCTCTCACTTACAGCTCAGCTTCATGAGTGAATCAATTTTCATTTAAAAAAAAAAAAAAAAAAAACGAGGAATCCCTAAAAAACCGCATCCATGCTTTTGTCATTTAATTAAAATAATTAATCTTTTTTTAAACTGTATAAAAATTACTTTATAAATATAATAAGGTGAAAAAAAAAAAAGTAAGTATTCGAGGTCTGTGTTGTTTGTCGCTTGCCCAATAGGTAGTTGCTGTATTGTTCGACGGTTACAAAATCCGAACGGACTCTTCCTCCTGTATATAAGATCAAATTCACACTTCAGAAAAAATAAAATGTTAAAATATTCAAATCAGTGCAAGTATAACGTGTATCACGTGTTGACCAGCCTTGGGGTCGGTCCACATTTTCCTTTCAAAGATAAGCTCATGAGTCTATAGTTGAACTTTGACATTATAATGTCGACGGACGGTGGGTTATTCATATATTATATATAAATATAAATTTTTGTGATTACAAATATATCAGGATTAATGGTCAACAAACATGGCAAAAGCCATAGGTTAAGTCTTCTCATGATTTTTAACCTAATGACAGCTTTATCTTTTAACAGTAAAAAGGCACAAAATTGGCAATAGGCTATTGGTTAAGTCTTCTCACCATTCTAACCTAAGGACAGCATTGTCTTTTGACAGTTAAAGGCGCTAAAATTGAAGAAAGTTAAGCGAAGCGCGCCTGCTACAGCGGCTACACTCCTATTCTACTCCTAGGAAGCTTCACCTAAAAAAAAAAAAAAAAAAAAAAAAAAAACCTAAAATTCCACTTATAACCTTTAGAAAAAAACGTAACTGAGTTGGCGGGGTTAGTTTTTTTCTTTCAATATTCCCTCCAAGTCCGGCTGAAAATACTCTTGCCGATTCCGGCGAGTCTCTGCAAAACCTTTTGGCTCCGGCGACCTCCATCTCCGCCAACTTCTGCAAGTGCTGATAAGCTCCAGCAGCCCACAATCTCTTTCTACACCCGTTACTTCCTCCACTCAACACCGCCGCAACCACCGTCACTGGGAACGTTTTATTGACAGCCTCATATTCGGATCCAAATCTGCACCAATCTCATCACGCTTTTCTCCCTACCAGCTCTTTCCGATTCGACCTCAAGGTCAACATGACACAATCGCTTGTGTTGCCGCCTCTTGTAACCCCACGGGGTTGGACACTCCATTAGTTCACTAAAGACCCCATACAGTTTGCAATAGCTCGCTTGTTACCATCACTGATAGATAAGTTACCAATCAATGAAGACGAAATTTGCTGTAATAAAATGTTCCCCTTCTTGACAATTCCCCCAGTTGGATTATAAATGAGGTTGAAGATGACAAGATTCTTGCCGCGGAAATCGATAAAGAAAGTGAACTGATTGCACGCAAAGAGTTTTCGGCTGTAGCTAAACTTGACGAAGAATCTTGAATCAAATGCATCAGTCTTTGTAACCCTCGTTCTCGAATAATCAAAACGCGGAAGTACTCACCTGAAGAAGCGAGTGTTGCATAACAATGAGCGGCATTTTCTTTTGCACTATTAGAATTGAAGCCATTAACTCGACCAGTACCGGTACAGCGCCTTCTTCAGCTAGAGTAGTTTGAATATCTTCCACGGCCACAAATATCCTAATCGCCCCACTGCATGTCTGAGTAGCGACCGATCCAGATCGGCACGTTCCATCAAGACCGAAACGCCGCCGTATGCTGAAAACAGCCAGGCGTTTTCAGGATCGATGGTTATAGCTCAATAGCAATCGCAGCTTTTTCTTTCAGGATCATAGACCCTGTTTCAAGAACTCTTAACAAAGGACCGAGTCCTCCTTCCTCAAAACACATCTTTCTGGACCATCACTCGCTGAGACCACAATTGATAGACCCAAAAACCGCCTGTTCTCGAATCGAACCCTGATGGTGAAAATCAAGTAAAGTAATCAAGTATCCGATGTTCCCTTCTTTAGCAAACCAAACACGCTGATTTCTCATCATCAATTAGTAGCTGCAACAGTGATTCTAGAGCTTTCTTTTGAAATCGACACCACCGATTTGCAATCTGTGAAAAGATCTTTTGATAAACAGCACTAAGTCTTCTTTATCAGAGGCGGGACCTGGCTGCGAGAGAACAATAGCATTTGATTGGTAGAGGACTCCAGATCTGAGTAACAATCAATATCACGAGATGTTTAGAGAGTGAAGTGGAAGCGATGTCGAGGTCGCTCTGCATTAATAGCTTCCCGCGGTGAAGGAACTGAGAGTACATTGGTCGGAGAGGGCTTGAGGCGCTGGAGAGTTGAGAGAAGTGAAGGGAGGAGAGTGTGAAGGAGCGGGTTCTCACATCCAGTGAGGGGAGTCGGAAATGGAGGAGAGAGAAGACTGAGAGAAATGAGTTTGGTACGGAGGATCTGCCACGTCCGACGAACGATGGACGCTGAGAGATGACAGGAGGAGGGAGAGACAAGGTTTGTGATTATGTCAAGAAGGGACTGAAGCGGAGGACTGCGGCGGCGTCGGCTTGTGTGGCAATAGTAGGGGTGGTGAGTGTATGCATTGATGAGCTCGGACCGGGCGGGCTGAGCTAGGACGGAGGTAAGTAATGATTTCAATGTTAAGAATAGAATGAGAAGCATGTGAGAGAAGAGTTGCTTAGAGAGAAAGGAATGAAAGAAAAGCGAGGTATCGAGGGAAGGAAAAACGAGAGCAATGAGAAGAGTCGTGACAGTTGGAATGAATTGGTATGAAATACTCAGGGAAATGTCAAAGTGTGGCTCAAACCCCCACCGCACCTAGTCAGCTTCATCCACTTTTCACGGACTTTCTGCCACGTCATTTTAAAAAAATATATATATATTAAATTATTGCAATTCTATACAGTTTTTTAGTTTGTTTTAAAACGGGCTTATATGGATTAATAATGTATAAGTATAGTATATATCAGAATAAAATTAAGGAATTATATATTATTTTTTTGCTGAAAATGTTGTCAAAGCTCATGATTGTCACTTAACATCATAATTAATATTGGAGGATAGGATCCAACTTACTACAAATAATAAATAAAATTGGTGGCCGTATGTGGGAGTTGCTCGAACCTAGTTTGCCCCTTCATAATTCAATGTTTGATTCAAAATCAATCAAAGTGATCAACTTAAATTTGGAGGTGCCTTC